ACGCCAGCAGCGTCCAAACACCGCGTAGTGGCAATCTATCTGACGTGAAATCACACAAGTTAGATCTCGCTAGTCCCCCACCTTCCCCTCCCCAGGTACGGTGGAATCTGCGCCGCTCACCCGGGCCGATCCTCCTCCCCGCCCCCCGGCATGGTGTGGCCGGTGCCGCTCACCTGGGAGCGGTGCGTGCGCGCCTCCGTGCGCCGGACCGCCTCCTGCGCCATCTTCTCCGCGGGCAGCGTGGCCGGCCGGCGCGGCGTCGACTCGGCCTCCAGGAAGCGTACGAACGCCTGGCTGAGCGACGCGCCGGCCGGGCCGGGGCCGGGCGCGCTCGGCGCCGGGTCGAGCCGCGCGCGCGCGCGCTCCTCGCGCGAGAAGTCGAGCACGGTGGCGATGACGCGCAGCACCTCGCGCTCGTGGCCGGCCGGCGCCGCTACGTACCCCACCACCAGGTTCTTGACCAGCGACCTGCGGCGGCGGCGGTGCGGAGGTCAAATCAGGGATCAGACCGAGGACACGGTCGACAGCGCACGCCCCCACCCGAGCAGGGCACGGGGCGCCGACCAGGCCGCCGCGATGGCAGCAGACGGGCCGCCACAGGGGGCGGCCGGCCAGTTGGAGCTGCATGGGCATGACAAGCGCCGGACAGCTCCGCAGAATGGCGGACGGCACACAAAGGCTCGCAGCTGCAACTGCGAGCACGGCGAGAAAAACCAGAACTGACGGCAGATTCAGGAGCCCTAAATGGGCCAACTTTCAAATGTCCCACAACGAAACCACTGGCTGCGAACGGAACGCCGACCGGCCTGGTCATTACTTGTCAACTTTTCCGGACGTGTTGCCCTTGAGCTCCTCCATCTCTGCCTGCAGACGAACCATGGCGTCCACCTTGGCTTCCACTGGAATAGGGCCCGGAGCTGGCGTCAGACGGCAGCGGGCGCACACACCAACCCCTCCCCGACCCGCCCACAGCCGGCGCCGGAGCTGGCGCCAGACGGTGGGGGGCGCACACACAACCCCTCCCCGACCGCCCACAGCCGGCGCCGGAGCTGGCGCCAGACGGTGGGGGCGCACACACTACCCCTCCCCCACCCCACAGCCGGCACCGGAGCTGGCGCCAGATGGCGGCGGGCGCACGCACCAACCCCTCCCCCACCCACAGCCGGCGCCGGAGCTGGCGCCAGACGGCGGCGGGCGCACACACTAACCCCTTCCCGACCCACAGCCGGCACCGGAGCTGGCGTCAGACAGCAGCGGGCGCACACACTAACCCCTCCCCGACCCGCCCACAGCCGGCGCCGGAGCTGGCGCCAGACGGTGGCGGGCGCACACACTAACCCCTCTCCCACCCACAGCCGGCGCCGGAGCTGGCGCCACGCGGCAGCCGGCGCAAACAACAAACCCCCACAGCCGGTGCCCGTGTAGCACGGCTGTACATGGGTAACACAAACCACGTTAAAAGCGCTTCGAACTTACATCTCTTTGGAAGAACAATGATTCACATCGTGCGCAATCGCAATGTTTCACAATTACTTTGGTTACTTGCAGTATGAATAACAATGACAAATCAATACTTGTTAAGCAATGTTGGATGCACTGCGTGACTTAAGCTACCTTCACCTACCTCGAACAGCCATACAGTTTTGTTGCTTTCGTTACTAGCGTAAGCAGCAGTTTCAGTGATTATCCGAAGCCCATTCTCGCGCGCTGTCCGCTGTCACTCTTTTATGGGCCGCAGCAAACCCTACTCCTTTTCATATAACCGAGCAGACATCCGCTAACGTACGTGTCATCCCCGGAACAGGCGGGATATTGTTGCATGAGTAATGTGCTTAAATCATGAGGACAATGTCGACAGTGAGCTTACAAAGCAGCTAGACACAACGACGACAGAATGAACAGTAATCGCGTACGCCTTACATTAAGGCAGACGACAAAACGTCACTCGCAAAATATGGCAGCACATGCCAAACAATTAACACCCTTAACATAAAATATAACAGCGCATGCCGAACAATTAATACAATCAACGCAACATCACAGCACATGCCAAACCATTAACATACGCGAACACTGATGCGGCTACTAGTCAAATTACACAGTATCACAAAATGGCAGAACCCAAAATAAGAGGGCGGGCGGGCGTGGCACAGCCCGGCTGGCTGAGCTGTTCGACCATGCGAGCCGCGGCGGGCGGACTCTCGGATGCGCAGACGCAGCCGACGACCGTCGCAGAGTCCGAGCATTGCTTCGACACTGAGATCGAGTCATCCAGTACCTGAAGTAATACTCAGATCTACGCAGTCCGGGGCGGGCAGCCGGCCCCCATGCCAGGCCGTGCGTCGTCGCCGGACGGCGTGCAGATGCGGCGC